TTGACTTGCAATCCGTTATGCAGCCTCGCCAATGGTAACTTACAGTGATGTGGTCAATTTGCACCCAGGCTTGACTAGGCGCCAGAGGTCGCCAGGTGGATCATTGGCACCAGGAACGCCGGAAATTGGTGCTTCTAACAAGCCGTGGTCGGCGGACAGTTGAAGGATTCGATCGCCGTTGTCCGCTCTGCGAGTACCGTAGCTGTGTTGACCCCAAAGGTTACGCTCATGAACCTTTAGTCTACCGACCTGCGCATTTAGGTCTCCGGTGAGTGCCGTGATGTCCGGGCGACATTTCCTGCGGATGAGATCGATGAGTTGGCGGCAGAACTCCACTTTAGCTTCATCCTATCTGCAGTCAGTAAGAGCCTACTCCGTCACCATGATTAAGCAGCGCCTACGGGTCCCTTGGCTGGAAGATTGCACTGAGCTTTCCAAGTGGACTGCACAAAGGCGGCTGTTGACCGGGAACCAATCGATGAGCGCTGTCTCAGCACGCTCACTTAATGCAACTCCTGCGCCTGTGCTACCAGAGGCTGTGGCTGTCGCATCGTTAGATAAGCGCAAGGTGAATTTGCAATTGGAACCTGGGGATGTTGAGACCAATCGCAATGTTGTGCTGGAGTCTTGTAAACGGGTTTCAGGTAAGCAGCAAACGTCGATTGAGTGGGTTTCCAAGGTGCGCGCAAGAGCAGCTTATGAACCAACGTACATGAGCGTTCGAACATTGAACATTGAAGAGCGAACGGGGTGCAATAAAATCCTTGTTGTTGGTATTGAAATGTCTGCGATCGATTTTGAGCGGTTCGTTGATGAGGCCAAAGGTACCCTTTTTTGTTTGCAATGCACTTTGGGTGACTCGAAATTGGTGAGGGTTTGCCAACAACAGGAGAGTTGAATAAACGTTCAACGAACAACGTGGTTTGCGGTCCACTAGAGAGAGGTTTAGCATGCCCGGCCGCCAGCACCTTTGCTAAAGAGAGCGAGAAACGTGAGTAGAGTGTCGTAAATCCATCATTTCATGTGTTGGGTGGGCACACAGCTTCCCGATTACCCAGGCCGAGGAAGGGGACTGACTTATGGGGCCCAACCCGTAGCCTTCAGTCTTAGGGACCTGACTCGCAAGGTAGCAGGATTAACTCAGAATTCGCACCCATTGGGAGCCGGTGACCGATTGCTTTGTTCATACACCTTACGTTTGACTGACTTCTAGACAGGGGCCAAATACTCCCAGTAATTCTGCTTCAAGCTGAAGGATTACTATGCTTCCGCGAGGTGAAGCAAGGAGCAATGGTCTTTTAGTAGTGAGTCCCATCCGCCACATCACAGTGTTGTTAAGCGGACATATGTGACTTTTATGGGGAGAACGGGCCAGGCGAAAACCCACCACGTCTTGGAACCCTGCTGCCGAAGATTTCGTTGGAACGGGCTAATCCCGAACCACCCAGCTGGCACGACGAGGAGGTAGTTCGGAAAGCCAGCCAAGGTAGCTGAGTAGATTAGGAAGACGTAATCACTACAATCAAAAGATCACATGACACCAACACAGTAAATTATCAAGTCAGGTCTTTCATGCATTATCAGCCTGCTCGTGACGAAATAAAAATGCTTGCAGCATTGAACCAAGCGAACCATCGTACCATCACTCTCAGGAGTACTCAGGTGAATCCACAAATGAGAAACACTTCTCTGTGACGGTACAATGAGAGCCACCCTCTGGAAACTGTTTGCAGTGGTTGATATGTTTACTCATGCGATGCATGCCGGCGATGAGGATCATGGTTCAGGTAACTAGAAAACTGTACCGAAGCCTACGTGGCGGATGCAACTGACATGCAGTAATGATGCGTTACCCATTTGTCTGCTAAGGACCAGTGTACACTATTAAAGAAGTAAGTTCCATTACCAATTTACACATCGCACCCAAGCAAACCAGGGTAGCCTCCAGATTGCCACAAACTTTCCGTGCCAACTTTTTCCTGTGTGGGCATTACACCATCTCGGCATTCTTCCATGCACAGCAGCATTGGTCGATATTGGCGATTAAAAGTCAGTTACTGCTAGCCAGGGTCGCCCTCAGCGGGACGACGTCAAAAACCTCGGTCTGATCACACCAAGTGTGTTAGAGCCGCCAATTCGATGTGATTTCGGCAAACTGCAGTAGGGGGGCAGTGCGCTGCCTATTGAGCACTCTGAATGAATCCCAATGTCTTTGGCCTTTGGGGTAGTCAAGTATGTGCCAAGCAATCGAACCAGTATATTTTCGTGTGCATATTTTCCAGTGTGCGCATTTATATATTTGTGCTTTTCATGGTGCACAATTTTGGTGTGCGCTTTGACGATGAACCGTCCAAAAGACTGTCGGATTTACATTTCTCCTGTTAGATGTTGAAAACAATTACCCACTGATAACAGTGTCTCACCTTTATGAGTCCCAGGTTACGATGAGTTATACGTTTTTGTATTATCACATAGGATCTAGGAAAACAATCGGTGTTGATAGGTCAAGGGAAATGTTTTAACGTTTTGAACCATCTGTATCGATGGAGTCGTGCAGGTTTACATTTCCAATTGCCTCTTTCATACGGTATTCACTATTCACGGCACTCGTTCACACCGGGGATGTGATGCATGTTGAGACACCATTTCTCCTCCACGAGTGAGCCAATCAAACCGGATGTGAATGTTTGCACCTCGAACAGTCCATTGTTGCATTCGCTGACCGCATGTGGTATCGATCGTGTCACAAGAGTGAGGGCTAAGAATGCCCATTGTGTGCGTTGTTGTTTCAGCTTGATTAAACGTCTGATTGTCGGATGCGCGTCTGACACATTAAACCTCCTGTGTGATATGCATTGCCAGGCTTCGCTTGATGTGAATGTTGACAAAGTGCTTTACTTGACGAAAAACCGCCCCTTCGATTATGCTGGCTCCAAGAGACAGTTGGCCATTACTTGGGAAGACGTGGTGCACGATCTTCGTTATTGTGCTAAGATCAAAGAGTTGTTTCATGCATCCAGTTTGGAAGGGGCTATGGCACATCCACCACCTTGTATACGTCTGGTAGGCATGATTCCGCAATTAGACAGACAGAAATGTTACTACTGTGAATGTTGAAGGAGTGTGGGCCGGCTCCGTTGATGAAATGTGGCCACTATCCACATGCCTCCCGGTCTTATTCCTTCGGGTTTACGGTGGATATGGGGTGTGTGGATAGGGCTGTGGGTGGTGCAGCGCAAGCCATCCATGGTCCCTCTGTAGGCGCAGGCGTCCCGTGAAGGCCACAGTGACATGCGAACCCTGACACGGACCCCCGCTAGCCATATAATCAGCTATCAAGTGCTTAAACACAAATGTAAGCAACATCTGAGGACTGCTTATCTTCATAACGAGAAGCATTTACCTGACTCTACCGCAGCTAATCACAAAAAATTTTTCTGAAGCACGTTGGCTCAAACTTGTTTATCCCAGCGTTACTACGAGCGGACGTGATCGGTGTGCATATTGGCTATGATAAGGCTTGTATACCTAGTGAACAGTATACTGTTGTCATTGCTCGTGAGACTTCTCTACCACAGCTTGAGTTGGTCTTGTAAGTCCCGGAGGATTCCTCTCTAACTGAAATTGACATAAAGGAGACTCAAGTTTTTTTCTATTGAAACGGCTACTTCCTTGCAAAGCTTCTCGTCCTGATTCACTTTATTCGAAGCTGCTGCGTAAATTCACCACTGAACTAATGGGTCCTCTTACATGCATGTTGCCAGAACCGCCTGACACATGCAATTTACCTTCAAAAGGGAAAGAGGGTATAATCGGTCCCCTTTTTAAAAATTGTGACAATAATCCACACAATCAGGTCTTCATTGCCGGGACGAATGTGGACAAAACGAGAACACTTTCCCATATCCTGCAGTCGTGTGTGGTAACTCACGACGTTCGCTGTAGGAGGAGCAACAATATCTTGAGGCATCTAAGCAACACGCTTCATCACCAAGGGGTCCAAGTCATCCCGGAGCCCCGCATCTCCTCGGGATCAGCGTAGGTCAAGCCGGAGTTATTCGCCACCAAGAACTCCACAGCACACTTACTGGACATGGCCGTATGCGACACCCAACAACTGACTAGTAGCTACCAAGTAAAAATGTAGCAACAAAGTGTAAGTGCTCATGTGGAAACCACAGCCTGCTTTGTGCGCTCAGAATTCCCCACAGCATTAAATATCATCCAATAATCATTAACAACCGGTGTCATATATTCGCAGCCTCCGCCAATTCCATGTCATTAACTGGGCTTAACTAACTTGACATATCCGATTTGTGTGTGGCTCCAATGAGAGAATCCCTTAAAGTGTATGACATCTAGGTGCGATGTGCAATGTCACAAAACATCACACTACTAAAGCACGCTCACACGTTCGCGAGTGATTCCGATCATACTTTGAGTTTAATATGATTACATGAGAACATTCGTCCAATCTCGGCAATTTTATGTAATGCTTAGGCTTTGGGTCGTGCATCAATTTGCCGAAAATATATGTCCATGGGCACCGCACGTACAGTTACTGGCGGGGCGTAGTGCACTCGGCTTTCCTCAGTTGAAAACTGCCTCATTGTAGCAAATTTACATGTTGCCACTGTGTCCCTGTTAGTCCTACAGAGTATTTAACTCTACGGGCCACGAACCTTTACTGAGTCATGGCTTGTGACTTTCACGGTGACAACACTTTTATGCGCGATCGGAGTTTGTAGGGCACTAACGCTCAGTAAACTGCCATGCATGTTATACAGACTACCTTCTTTTGTACGCTGGCAGATGCTGACTGTGGTGGGGTGCGCGTTTTATTTGTTGACCGCTGTCTGCTCTTGTGTTTAGCATGCCAGTAACCCAGTATTCTCGCTTGTTACACGGCATGCGTCATTTGATATAGCAAGTTAACGTCCCATGGCTCCATTATGTACGAAGCAATATCCAACTATAAATTTTTGTTATTTCCCATCAAGTCAACCGGACTGAACGGAACAGTAACGAAGCCGTCCATTCTTGTCTGGCCTGTCAATTGGACGGTGGAGAATGCTATGATATTGATAACGATGGTCTGAACGATGGATGCCAGTACCCGACAGTTCGCTCGAACGCACCCGATCTACGGACCAATGACAATCCACGGACTCTGTGCCAAAGAGTGCAGGGTTAGTTTGTAGAGTTGTTCTGATTCCCGTCAGCTGGGACCACCCCTGACTTTGGCTGGTGCTCAGGGACCGCCATGATTTGTTATCTAATCTGCTCTTTACCTTGCTGCTATTCCATATGCAGTACTCACTCACTGTACCTCGCTCGGTGTCACGGTGTGCCTCATTCCACACGGCTCTCACCGACCGATCGATGGGTGTTTGCCGTTGAAGCAACTGCCTACACAGTGGTTTGCTCGGATTTTGGTCCCGACTCGTTCACATCAGAGACAGATGAACCAGAGGTGCGAACTACAGCCCGTAGAAAAGTTTACAATTGGAAATGAGAAAATTTTGGGGATGCTGCCGGACTCTGGAACTAATGCACTGTGTGCCCAACTGAATCGCCAGCTTAAAGAGGAATTTTTGTGCGGAACCAAGCTCACACAAAATTATTCCTGTGATACCTTCGTGAGTCATTTTCCTGTTGTCTTGGTGGAATATGCTTGTGCCTCCTTGTTCACCAGGGACCAGATAACTACAGTGCAATGTATCTTCTTGTCGTTCCAGCGAAGCGCTACAGTATGTCCACCTGCTTGCGTAGGGGCATTTCGAATTCGGACCATTCATTTTGTCTAACCAACTTAGTTTGAATCGATATTTAGTGATCTTTACTTGCCAATAGTTGGCTGCGATTATTTCGTCTTCAATCACAATCAGAATGAAAAAAGTGATGCGCTTTTCAGTCGGACGGTGACTGATTTCTGCGGCTTCTGAGTTAGCTCATTTGATCACTGAATCCTCCATTGTGTGCTACTCACAGACCGAATGACTGATCTAGTGACCATTGGTAAAGTTGGGTTTAAGTATTTCCAGTAGAATGAGTATACCCTAAGACTTCAAGTTATTTCAACCACTTTTTGTCTGCGATTTGATATAAGTTATTCAAGTTGGCATTTGAAGCTGCCCGATACTTTCTGTCTCAGCCTATTTGTATTACCGTTGACCACAATCGAAAGCCTCCATGCTTCGAAACATATTACAAATGCTTTGAAGCTGCTTACCTCATAGAATATGGTTATTTGCACCCTCTTTACGTCAGTGAACAATGAATTTATACGGGTTAAGAAGTGTTGCTTTACAAGTCCCGTTGGATAGTTGGTGGGAATGTCAACATAGCAATAATGGTGATAAGGATAGTAAAACAGTTATTACTTTAAATATGAAAATAAGGACTTATCGTTTGCTTCGCTGTAGTCCTGCGATCCTCTAAGATTCACAGCACCCACAGTTAACAACAAATAATTTCATGGTAAACTCCAGGTGTAGGATAGAGACGTAGTTTTGAGTGACAAAGTCTAAGTGGATGAGTGCATCGTCCAACCATCTTTTAAATACTGTTAGTGTCGGTGCAGGGACGACCGATTCTGGGAGAGCATTCCACGGGTGACAGCCACGAATGGAAAAGAAATTTCTGCGGCACTCCAGACGACTGTATTATTCTGCGAGTTTTAATGAGTGACCCCTCAGGTTTGTATTGCTGCTGAGTTGCAGTAAAGGGCGGCACACATGATGTAGAACAGGGCCTCAACGATCCTTTTCAGTCCTGACACCTGTCAAGACTACAGAAACCGATTAAATGAGCGCAAAATGAACGGCATTCTGATTGTGTTTCGGTTCAGCTTCGCGTACGAGACCGAGTAGGAGCATCACCCAGATCTTCTTGTTGAAACATGTGCGATTATGTCGTCCATGCTTGCAAATGCTACAGGTTTTGCCACCTCGATGTTGCAGGTGAAGCAAACACCTTACCGTGGAACGGTTTATTTTGATCAAAAATTTTCTTTTAAATGATGAACCACTACTTTCCTAACAAGTGACAACCGTTCTTGCCATTACCGTTTAATTGTTTTCTTCTTGCGTCATAGATCACCCACCAGCAGACAACATATTATGGCCGTTTGGAGGCATATTCTGCGCTTGGTCGAATTTCTCAGACGATTTTATTTTACTGTAAGGCTGATGTGCCTTGCATCCCACATCCGTAAGTTCATTCTCTTTACCCTTGACCTCATTCGAGTGAAAGAGTTTACCCCATCGAGGTACAGATAATATCTCGTAGAGTTCAGGCCATACTCAGTTATGACGTTGGTAACTTTTTACTCATTAGAATGCTTGCTACCAACTCCTTGCAGAAGCTTTGCATTCAGTTGCGATGCTTTTTGCGAACATTCGAAGTGTCGCTATTGGCACATGATCGCGCAAGTTACCCGCGACAAATGTCATTCGTTCGAGATTATACTCCTAGGTGAATTTCACCATGGCGCTCAGTCATTTATCTCAGTAGTGTCAGTGCTTTCAGGAAATATCATCCACCATCAACACAGTGCGTCTGAACTGCTGCTTTTAGAGTAACTAAAATCGTGTTCGTGAGAGCTTTACAGGATTTTGTGTTTGTTTACTCCCCACCCCCTCTACCACACTAGTACGAACTGCAACGCCATGAACTTGATCTCGCCAGCATTTCGTGGAGCACGTTCCAGCCTGCGGTCCTGCTTCGAGTAACACTGGGGTCCAGTAGGATAGGCATGTATCAAAGTGCCATCTTATATCTATGATGTCGGCTACAGTTGGATTAGCTAAAACCGTCCAAGGTAGACGTGATTAGAAGAATGTTTCGATGACACTGCAGCGAGAGGATGTTTTGGATTTCACTAGGTGCTGTACTGTGCTGTGTTTTTTAGATAGGATTATTTAAAGTATCACACATGTTCTCTAAAAGATTGTCTTTTGTGTATATGGAGTTGTTTCTTGAATGTGACTCTACTTTGTACAATTGATGTCATCAGAGACAATCTCGAAGAGCAGTCAATTTTCTCCTACAAGCTGCAAATTTTAAATGAAAAATTTGAAAATGTGGATTCCATTAACGAATCGTCAATAGTTCGTCTGAAAATCAGCTCTAAAGGTAGGTTAATCGCGACCTTGTTGGGCCTTTATGCGTTGCATATCAAAAGACCAACTGTGAGCACAAAACCAATTATTGCTTTTTCTTTTACGGAACTCGATTGCTGTTGAAGGCTGTCAAAATCTCATACCTAACACGAAGCTTTCACCGCCTGTTCTATGGCTTCGAATAGAGACATCAACAACCGTGCTAAATCTTTCATTTGATCCATTTAGGCCACTCTACCGAGCCACAACTAACGGTATTTTATTCAACGTATTAATACTACCAGAGGCTACTTGACGGTCGGCTTTTGAGTAATCGTTACCGGAATGAGTTGCGCTACCATGAGAACGAGAAATTAATTAGTGAGCGCACCGCACCTGCTGGGCAGACTTAACCAATAAGATGCGATTAGGGGAGCGGTGCCAGTGTTCAGATGATGTGGACGAAAGTTCACAGTCCTTGCCTTTTTAGACAGTAAGGTACTTTCCGACTTGCGTCTGAGGGTTGCAAGTAATTCACGCATACTTATTCCCGATGGGAAATATTTCGGTCATACAGCTGATACTTAGAATGAGATACCTTTAAAGAAGCCTATGGATCACGCTTCTCTAAACTTTCGCGGAAACCAGCAAGAGTTCCCGTATCCAAACCCACCAAACATTCGTCTGTAAAGGAAGTATGTAATGTTCAAAATTTCAGCTGCTTCCCTTATCTTAAGCTCACAGTTTTTAATTGTTAGAAGCCATTGTTTTCATGTGAAAGTATGAGAAGCACATGACAACCAACAACAGACACTTGTTAAACCAACCAACCAACTCGCAGCATCTTCATCTCAGTTTTGAAGGTAGCTATCGATCACAGCCAGGAATATATCTTTGTGAACCCCTGTTTTTCCTAGTGAGATGTGCAGGGCCATTGGCAAAGCTGCAATCTCACATCAGCACACTTCTCTTAGTAAATAAATCAACGAATAAAATAATAATGGTATTTACTCTCCATAGTGCGACACAGGACTTAATGTCTAGTCGGAAACCTTTGTGAGAATACCTGAAATTAGCGGTGGAGAGTTGCTATTTAGTTGCGCAGCAGTTCGCTGTCCAGCTCTTATGACCAGCTGCGTTACAAAGCGGTATTTACTGAATTTGGTCTCTCCCGAACAGAGGACTATTGTATTCGCAGCTAACTGAGTGCGCGCACTATCGAATGACTGGAAGTGGGGATTCGTGAGCGACTCAGAATCGATAAACCACCTCATCCAATATTAACAATAAGTTATCAGGAAGCAAAGAAATGCTCTATCGTATCCGCCCATTATGAGTAAAAAAAGATAGTTTATCTCCGTGGCTTCGACTAGATCCCAGCAACAGGAGGCGTCAAGCGTTTGCACGAACAGGGTTTCACGCTCGTCAGTGCTCAATCAACTCAAGCGAAGCGAATGTGACACGCGCAATCAAGACGAGTGAATATTCCGCAACAGCGCACAAGCTTTTCTGAAGTGATAATGCACAAAAGTTAGTACAGGTGAATACTACCGAAATGCTTAATCTACGAAGGCATGAATAGGTCTAAAGCTACTGATTGCTTCCCTCACCATCCCATACATCATAGGTTTATGGTCAAGCAAAAACAGGTTATATAAGAAATAAACGGCCATAGGTCATCCACACACTCGCGTGACGTGCGTGCACCTGGTTCATTTAGATTATTCCTCTCTATCCTCTCTTCTTCATCTCACAGTGTTGTTACTGTACCCTCATTCGAACCGGATTTATTAGCCCTATATATGGATCAATCATACGTGGAAATATCTTCTACGATTAGAGCCTGTGCCATCACTAACGGTTTTCACTGGCATCCGTGAGTATGCGCAAGCGGTTAACTCAATCACATTGAGCCGATTGCCTTTCTGTGTGACACCATTCGATACAGAATTCTCGAGGCAGGCAGAAAACCCTAAGCTTATTCCGATCCAGTGTTTCTCAACACAGCTGTGAAATAATTTGTGATCGCTCAATTTGTGTTCAGTGTTGTGTTCAGATTCAGTTAGCAGGTTCCAGTTACTCGCCATTCCTTGTGACCTTGTCAGCCAGTGAGCCTGCATAACCCATCACACGGACCGCTCGACCACGCCGACCGCTCGTTTGACCTTGTAAACACTACGCTCGCCTGACCGATGTGCGCCGCTCTCAAAGCTAGAAAAGTACAGAACGCCAACCAACCCACTGGATAAGGCAACAACACCACATTGACTGGCAGAAATGCGATTCCGAAAGGCTCCAAGCGAACGGCATTTGCTGGTTAGGAGATTATCGAGTGGTTAAAATCGGTCTGGCTTGCTCGCACTGTATGGAATCGTATCATCCGCAACGTGCAAATGTGTCCCAACAACAGGTACAAGAGCGAAGTAGCTCCCATGATGCACTTTGGTTCTGTACTGCGTGTTCCACCATCCCACTCCTTAAGTGCTTGCTTATCCTAGTCCAGAAATGCGACCGGTTAACCGCAGAAGCCCAGCAGAGGATAAACGATAAGATTACTTTAATGGAAGCGAGTATGCACCAGGGAAGCGTAGCGGCTTCTAAGGAACCGAATACTGCACAATCCGCTTCCCCTGAACCGCAATCAGCCAAGTCCCCATCTTGGTTGTCTTCTTCAAGTTTGGTAGAACGCCAGGCGAAAACAGACTGTACCTACGTGAATCAAACAGTACTCACAGCAACGAAAATCAGGCACCATTCCAAACGTCTGGTTAAGCAATTTCCACTAGACCTGACATCTAACATTAACAAGGATGAAGCAGCCGAAAACCGACCATCGGTACCTGTAACTCAAATATCTCTTGTCGAAACAAAGCCCCCCGGAACATCAGGTTCATATGCAGAGATTATTGCAAAGGACACCGGGAGACCGTCGTTGAGGCCTCTTCTGTTGTAAATACCGTTAAGGCGAATAGTAGGACAAACATCAAACAAACAACACTTGTCAGCAGATCAGAAAAAACGAGTATCATACCTTGTAGATAAACGAAACAGGGATCTAACAAAAGTACCCGGACTGTTGTATGCTCAAATGTCCCTGTAGCTACTGCCATCACATTGCGGGATTAGTAATCGGAAGACCAGGACCAAGGGAACTTCTTGTGCATGCTGATGAGTATCAAAACTAAGCCCATAAACTTATTACGAATTACACGTCATCCGAATTTGCCACACTATGGAGAACCCAGACTTATTCAAGTAACACTAGAACGTAGAAAACGTTATGTTCGGGGCAAGCACACTAAAACACGGATCCTGTGAGATACGCATCCATCCTGATGTCCCTTGGAGCGCGCGACAATCAAAATGAAACACCGAAGAGGGGCACGGCAAGCAAGACCGCCTAAACACAATCTTCATACATGGCGTGCCAGAACATCCTTCTAAAAATGTTCAAGTGACCGGTATGCACGATTTAGGACAGTGGCGATTCATTCGTGAAACGCTTTCTTTGGATACTATTGTTGCCCTATCGCTCACCAGGATACCTCTCTCACCGAATTATAGAGGATGCGGCCCTAGAATCCTAAAACTTGTGGTTCAGCCAGAGCAACAAGCGACGGATGTGTTGGATCGATGGCGGAGAAATCGAGAAAGTGTTTTTCCTGAACTTCGGATGAAGGCCGCAGAAGCTTGCAAAGTTCAAATATCAAACCACCTGAAGCAGTAAACATACCGACGAATGTACAGAAGTGTAACTTGACTGCTGCTTTAATTGACTCTTACGTAGATCTAAACGAAGATTAGGACGCACCTTAGTTGAATCAAGTTTCAAACGAGGTATCATTATCCCACCAAAAATATGAGTAACTGCCGACTTCCCCTCGGTCGGCATTCTCCTACACTTGACCCCTTCACCCCTCTGTGGGCTCCTAGAGACCGGGAAACTAGCCTGCTTTTATACGGATGCTCAGGATCTATTTAATAAACTGGCCGAGCTGAAAGATCCCCATGCTTTAAGGTCATATGATGTCATTGGTATCGCTGAGACGTGGTTACACACGGGAATGACAGACGCTGAAGTTTCGCTACCGAGCATGTCGCTGATCCGGAACGATAGGCTCATGAAAGGAGGGGAGGTAAGTCTGTATTGCCGAAACGACTTACAGTGTAAAGCCGTGGAGGATTCATACTCGCAGTTCCCCGACTCTCTTTGGTGCCGTTTGCCGTTAAAAGGCAGAAGCGCTTGCCTTATTGTCTTGGTGTAACTCACCCCTAACTCTCCAACCGAAACTGACTCGCGCCTTGCGGCTAGTTTAAGATGCAGTCTAAAGCGAAAGTACACTCACATCCTTATCATGAGCGCTTTCAATGTACATTGTTCAGAAACCCCTGCCACGATCGGAAAACAATTCAAAGCCGATCTACAAGATCTAGTAACTACTGTTCCGTTTTACAATCACCACTTTGCCCACTCAGAACAGGTAACAGACCATATGTACTGAATCTTGTGCTTACCAACGAAGAGCATATGATTGATGTGTTGGCTGTAATCTGCCCGTTGGTTCGCAGTGATCATGCAAACATCAGTTTCAACTTCGTCTGCTATGCGGGATATGGTGATAAGAACGATGAGACTGTGCGAACCATAACAAGCTACGATCGAGTAGCCCAGCTCGTCAGTGCTATAAACTGGTCGTTCCTTGCCGGAGAACCCGCGTAAGTCGTCTGGCTCGAGTTCATCAACAAATGCAGTCAGATGATTCCAGAGACTTCAGAGATAAGAGTTTGCAATAAAGGTACATCAGTTTCTTTCCTTAGCAGCAGAAATCGAAAATGGCTGACAGTAAGCAACGCAGCATGACGAGTGTACAGAGAAGCTCTAGCACTAGAAACTTGGAAAACTTCCTGGCCCAATGTAACCACTGCACTCAATGGTTAAGTGAAGACAAAGCCGCCTATCGGAAGAACATCACAAAAACCGTCAGCACTAACCACAAACTGCTGTACAAACACGTCAATAGCCAATGTAAGGTG